TTGTGGTGAACATGTAGACGTCCAGAATACTCATCATCTTCAATTGACTGTCGACCGCCCTTAAAATGTTCATGCCACTTGAAACATGCCATACGCTTCAAGCATAGCAAATGTTTCAGTCGCAGATTTTCCAAGTTTAACACAAAATTTTACAGCAAGTCGTTGCTCCATCAGGTCATTCATTCTGAAATCTGACAAACAAAAAATCGCATTTCACTAAAAATTGTGTAGCTAATCAACAAATAAAGATATCTGTAACAGGGAAATGGCTTTATCACCAGACGATCTGTACAAACCTAGCAACACCAAGTGGATTTCCCTGGAACCAACTGAAGCCATGCAATTCAAACAGTCTGCATATTTTTTGAACAGACCTCGTAAAGGTTGCATTTGTATTGATTCAAAAATATCTATAATACAGGTATACTTTGCCTTATGTCAGTAATTGGTTCCAGGAGAGGCAACTTAAGTCGAAAAACAATGAAAGTCGAATTTACTTGTCACTAGGCTAAACCACAAATAACTATTTCCAGTTCCGTATTTTATTTATAAATGCATTTTTAGTAATATATGGTTAATAAGAATCTATTTTAAGTTTACAAACAAATAAATTTTAGTTTTTAATATAGTACAGAAAAAAAGTAATCTAAATTTATGAATATGTGTACGGTACGTACTGTACGTACTTGTAAATATACATGTTTACAATTTGGCGATGTTTACAGTACATCACGGACTTTTTATTTGTGAATGTGATTTGCTCTAAGACATTATAAAATAAGGTGATTTTGTAAGCTTAAATAACAAATACAGTTATTAAAATTATTTTGAAATAGTAAAAGGTAAACTAATTTATATTAAAAATACCAATATCAAGTGGTGCTGACAACAACGCCAAACAGTAAATATTGGAACTACTGTGGAAAATGCAAATATTGAGCTCTTAAAGGCTGCTAAATAAGACGAAAACATAGAGTCATGGATGTTTTCATATTTTGTTCTATATGATTTATGATGATTATATTAACATTTACTGTAAATGTATGTATTTTAATATGATTTGATGTGCTTTTAACACTTTTCTAGTGATATTACGATTTCAATATTTGTGGTGGGCAGATGTAAAGTTGAATAAAATGACTTTAACTTGATTTTTATTTTTCCATATATTTTTTTGACAAATGACGTAACTCGAGATATACCTGTATTATTAAAACCCTATCTATTAGGATAACTAATTTAATCTAAATCAAAAATATCTATGACTATGTTTGTGGAGGTATCCATTGTACAACATGGTTTTACTCTGACACAGAAAATTGGGGCTATCTCCCGTATAACACTATTTTCGGTTTCACTCTAACATGGTTCAAGAATTCAGGAAATTGTCCATACAAAATTTCACAATTTTAAGTGTAAACTCCGTTATTTGATGTTTTTTATTTATTTAAATAAGCGTGTATGTCATCTCAAATTTGCCCATGAATTTTAGAATACAGTAGAGCGTCGATTATCCGAATCAATTGGGGACTGGGGTTGTTCGGAAGATCGGTGTTTCGGATAACCGATTATGTATGAAAAAATATATTAATTTATCCCATCTTGACATTTTTCTCCGTTGCGTGTCGATGTTAAGCCTAACGAAGACTATTGTATCGTTAAAAATTATTTTTTTATTTTGTACGAACAAAATAAATATATTGAAAAATATAAAAACAATAAAAAATTATACTTCAGAAGTTAATTTAGTATCAAAAACGTAAAATATTTGAGTAGCCTAAGACAGCCAAAGATTGCAGTGCCAAAGCACTGGTGAAAATTTAAGTTTGCCGACTGGAATTCTTTCGGATGATTGACTTTTGGATAATCGAAGCTCTACTGTATTAAAATTTTCAATTTGTTTTTGAGCTTTTGTCAGGTTTAACCAATAGTAAATTTTTTTTTTTCTTGCTTTTCCTTGCTTTCTTATCAACCAGATATTATTGATATTGCTTTCAAACACTAGCATTTAAGGTTGTTATCATGTTTTAGTTTTATAGATTAATCTTTGTATTTAGTAAAGTTTATTTAAACATTTTTAGGTAAGGGTTTTAAACTTTTTTTAACTGTAGGTAAGTAATACAGGTCTGCAAAAAAATTTTTTTCCAGCTGCATGGAATATTATTGCTGAATTATATGTTTTAAAAATCGAAGATTCTAAAAATAGCTTCCGTTGCATCCCATCACGTAAAGGTTTTTTTGCAAAATAAAAACAAATTTTTGATAAAAACTCTTATTTATTACAATGAACTAAATATATTATATTTTCTTACAACTAATCAAAAAAATGTTTATGATATTTATACACAGTTTTAGGTCTACTCTTTTTCTTATGAAACCTTTCCTTCTTTTTGATGTTTCTCCAAACTTGTTTCCGATTTCCCTTTCTGGTTTCTCGATTGAGCATCCAACATTAGTCAGCTAACACATTGACATCCCATTTTTCTTGGTAACGTCTCTCGATATCACGGACATCCTGGTGAAATCATTCACACTGTTCTTCATTGTAGGCTTCCAACTTTTTGGAAAAATAGTCAATATGGGAGTATAAGAAATGAACTTAAGCTCATCTTGCATCCTTGAGTTTCATACACTGCTGCCAGCATGCTTTGTACAATGGTTTCATAGTCAGGGTCCTTAGTAATCCCGAAAAACTTATGCATTACATTCTTGAAAGAGTCCCATACTTCTTTTTCCTTTTCTCCCATTGTTTCCAAAAATCTGCTTTGTCTTGATCTCCAAGTTTCAATTTGAAATATGCAAATTAAACTTTCTTCATAAACTCACTCATGTTTCTTTGTTGACTTTTCATTGTGTATTGACCACAAACATAACAGAAGCTGTCGGGAGAAATTACACAACCTCTGTGAGCCATATTCCAGAAAAATACAAGCACAGTAGCGTTCAAATGTTGGATATAAACTGAGTGTGGCATTAGATGGCCAGTGAGATACTGAACTTATTTAGCTTGTTGAAACATGATCTAATCCAACAGCAGGTTGTTTATATTTATTCCTAGTATCCCGGATAACATGTTGAAATATGCTCAATCTCACCAATAATATTACTCACTATCAACTTTTAACCTGTTTCTATACTTTCATGCGATCTTCCTCCTAATGCTAAAACTACTTAACCCACCTCCCCCTACCACTACTCTCTTCAACCATTAACATTTTTTATTTATTTACTAGCTGCAAGATCCCGCTTCACTGGGTTTTTATTTGTATGTAATAGTATAGTTTTTTTATATATATAAAAGACTGTTTTTCTAAGTAATCTAGAATCTAGCTGCAAGGACCCGCTTTGCTGGGCAAAAAGTAACGATAGTGAAGATTAAGATAATTACATTATAGCTAATCTTACCCGTTTTCACAAAATGCAAGAATTAGGTCCCCCGTTTCCAGACTAATTAGAGAATTTTTACGTTTAGTCAAACGAACAAATTTCAACGTTTCTGGAACNAACGTTTCTGGAACGTTTACAATCGTTCTATAATCGAACCAATATTCGAATTTTTTATGTTCGAATTTAATTCGAATTTGTTCGAACAAATTCGAACAAAACATTCGAAATAGAAAGCCACTTTCATCCTCATATCTCCCGCACCCTTATAGCTATCGAGACGCAACCTTCCTGGTGCACGAATGGAGACTTAGGGCTACTAGCACATACAAACACCATTCACGTGCGATGTGTAGTTTTGGCGGAAAAGTGAAATATAGAGACATACATATCCATTTTTATATATATATATATATATAGATTGCCAGTCCAGCTATAATTGATAGAATTAATGTGAGAAGTCTTCATTTTAAGGCCATTTAAAAAAAAAAAAAGAATACAAAATTTTAAGTTAACTAGGAATTTTACGCTAAATACAAACAAAAAGTTGAGTGTAACAAAAAAAATTGACAAGATGGAATTTTTTTGGTATTTTTTTCATTTTTACCAAGTTGAAATCTGTAAATGTATAAAAATCCTATGCAGTTTTTTACTTGCAGATCTGTGTAATCATTCATAAAAATGACAGAATATGGCAGTATCTTGGTATTTGGACTGTTCTTTACTCGAACAATTCTGTATTTGAATACAAATTCTTGTTTGTTTGCTTGGTACTCAACTGAACAAACAAAGGTCTCCTAGAACAAATTTTTGATTAATAACATAATTTTATTTTTATTTTGTCATCCACAAAATTTTTTTATGATAAAAATAAGAAAAATGAAGATTTTATTGATACTTCTGATCAAGATCAACGAAAAAGCTTAGAATATGATAATACTTTGTAAAATGAAAACTCCCTCATTTAACTAAAATCAATATTAACACACAATACAATACTTTTAATTGTGATCATTAGTTAATTATTGATTGCTTTAATAAACATATTTCTTTTTAAAAATTGCCAGAATGAATTCACATTTACAAAAAAAAATATATTTCTTGATAGACTATACATACAAGATGAGTCCATATCATTCGGTCCTTTCACATGCTATTAAGGCAGTAACTGTTATTGCTTCAATATGCATAGTCTGTATGTACGTATAGTCTATTAAGAAATATATTTTTTTCTTGTAAACATATTTCTCTTGGTAACAAAACAGAATAGTATAATTTTGTTAACTTTTGGAACCTAATCCCGTGTTTTATATTAGTCCTTTGTTTTATATAGCCATGGATTCCCATAATATAGCACTTTTTTGGAACGTAACTACTGTGTTATAGGAGGGATACCTGTGTTATGTTTTTCTGATTTTAAATATGTCTTATATTTTATAAAAATATCACATAGGACTGTAACTAATGTCATCATTAACTCAATTTCTTAAAAAAATGGACTTAGACCACTTTCGTTTAAAGTGGCTCATATATATATTTTTTGTTTATGAACAGATATTTTTTTTTCTAAATTTTGTTTAAGTGGTTTCTTTTAAGTTTTCAATTATTTTTTTTAGACGCCTGAAAATATTGTTGCTCGTGATTTACCTGAAGCCTTAGCATCTTTTAAGGAAATAACTGAACAAGCAAACAATGTACGAATAACTGTAGAAACATTATTAAAAAGAATTGAAGATAATGAATTTAAAACTGAAAAGGTATGTTGATTTTTTACTAAACAAATTATTATTTTCTGTAGTAATGTATAAATTGAATCATTTATTTTTAACAGGGCAACAGTTTTTTGGAATTGAAAAATCAAATGTTGCTTAGTTATCTTATTAACTTGACTTACATCATTCATAATAAAGCTATTGGAAAAAGCATAGAAGGTGAACCAGCAATTGAGAGACTTGTGGAAATTCGTACGGTATGTAAATAATGTAATTATAGGAAATTATGTAGAATCTATTATTGTTAATTTATGAAAATAATTAACAATAATAAGCATCTGTTTAAAAATTGATGACAACTTAAAAATTATTTTTTTAATGCAGGATTCTAGCAATGTTGATTTCATATTTTTGTATATGTTCTTTATTTCAAAGGTGATACTTTTGTTAAAAACTATGATTAATGATAAATTCATGATATATACTTCAGAGGTAAAGAATATGATCGATTGTGCAGCAATGCTTGGAAGAAATTAAAGCAGTTCAGGGGAAATTTGTGGTAGAAAATTAATATTATGGCAATAGCTGTAAAACTCTCTTGGCTAAGCATATAGATATTAATTGGGATAATTTGCCAAAATGCAGGAAAATCCTATTTTAAAAAATGAAATTGGAAATTTCAATATCTAAATGCTTGGTTAAAAAAATGTTTAAATGTACATAGAAGTTATAAGTATGAGAGACATGACTTGGGTTGCCAGATGTCCTTTTATTTCATAGGACAATACTTTATTTTAGCTAAACTCAACTTATCCTTTTGTGAGAGTAGCTGGGGTTACGGAGTAGGTAGTACTCGTGTAACACTTAATCAGCACAGATTAACTGAAATCTGTCTCCGAAGTTTTGAATCGAGAGATCCGATCTTATGTCAAGATTCGTTTGACCGGGAGGGCCAAGGGTATAAGTAAATTACCTATGTAGAGTAGCCAAGGGTATAAGTAAATTACCTATATCACTTACTGGCGCACGATCGTGAGATCGGCTCTCGGAACTTTTTATAGGAGGGCGGTAATATTTAGGAAAAGGGGATTCAAGACTGTGGAGTCTTTATCCCAAATTGTCAGGGTCCCAACACCAGTTAATCAATCTTATAACACGCGGATTAACACGCGTGAAGTATACTTATTACGTTTCATATTAGGAGATATTTAATAAAAAAATGAAATAATAAATTTAATAAAACAAGAAAATAAATCATACAAAAATCTCAATGAACGAGAGATAGAAATACCACAAATAACATACAAATCGAGAGATAGCTATACTTATCTTCTACACTATTCGCGATCGAGAGAGAGAGCTCACAAAAATCGTTATAAAACATACGACCTGTTTCAGTTGTCGTTCGTCTTCTTCTCTGTATGCAAGGGACACTTTGGAGATAAAGTTCATTTACTTCTTCGTATGGGAGATCACTATGTGCACAAATATAAAGGTATCACTTCTATGTGCAGACTCTAGACTTATTCTGTATGTGACTCGTCTAAGGACGTTGGTCATCAGGAGGGAAACGTATGTGGAGTTTGGACGCTTTCGGATCTGTCGCTGAACTCCTCGAATTCTGACAAGTTCCCTGTATATCTTCGGAATACCGACCAATCATCGGCCAGTAACTCTTTCATGAGAACGGATGAAAGGGGAATGAATGAGGGGTAACCATTTCCCATCTGAGCAGGATTTTAACCAGATAAGGGAAAGTCAGAGGATGTTCTCTTCTGTGAAAGGAAGTAACATCTGTTATCTGCCTTTTCCCACGTTAAAACAGTATTTTTCTCACCAAAAATGAAGTAATATTTGGTGACAATATTTAACATAATTAATAAAATTATTAGCTTAGACCCAGGGGCCTTTCGGGTCTCACACTTTATTGAAACAAGAAAAGACACAATTTGTCCATTATTTTATTTTTTTTTTAATGCCTATTTCATAACAGCAGTGGTGGATTTCCACACAGATGTATGTCTATCCTTATATATTAATTCATATCCTTTTCCGTAGAAAGATAGTATTTACTATTAAATATTTTAAATTCTAAATTAAACTAATATTTGGAAATATTTATGATTAATATGAAAACTATAATGTTTAAATCAAAATTTAAAACATATAAACAGAATGTTTAGTTAACTGAAAAATCATTCAATTTTGTTTTTAAGGTGGGAATTGATTGGAGTAACGTCTATAATGAGCTTTGTCATAAAAACTTAATTTTTCAATTTTGTTGGCTTATTTTGATTGTCTTTTCAGTCATGTATAGTTTTGATTCTGTTACAATCGTAATAGATTACTGAATAATTAGGAATTATTCTAAAGTTAAATTTATTTAAAATAATTTCATTTATAAGTTTGTTGTTAGGAGGATTTTGTACAAACTAGTAAACTAAACTCAGTAAACTAGAGTATCAAGATAGGTTAATTATGTATTAAACAAATTATAAACAAATCTGACAGGTTGATGGATGGTTGAAGACAATTTTTCTCAATAATGCTGTAAAAGAATTTGGTTTGTTATTTTTAAATAATGTGTTCAAAAGTTTGCTGTCATGCAGGTTTTTATTTTTCCAGCTGTTATGTATATAACACAGAAAAGTGTGTTATATACATAACAGCTGGAACACAGAAAAGTGTGTTATATACATAACAGCTGGAACACAGAAAAGTGTGTTATATACATAACACACTTTACCTGTAAAGTGTGTTTTATGCATAACACACTTTACATATATTTGTGTAAAGAAAATTTTTGACATATTTGATCCTCTGGGATTTTTGCAGTCTTGACATTTTGTTCCCTAAAATAAATGGAAAAAAAAGAAAGAAAAAACAGGAAAAAATTCTGTGTACATACATGTATTGGCATCTGTTTCATTTAATATCTCAGGATGGGGTAAAGGTTAAGGAATGAAATTTGGCATGGTAACTTGTATATAAGGGGCATTAGATTCTGTTGGTGGTTAAAAGTTGAGGGAGTGGGAAATATAGGGGTTGTGTCAATGGGGTTGGACTTACTGAAAGTTTTACTTGTTATTGGCATTTACAATATTTTTAAAAACTCATCTCTACCCTCAAAATTAAACCATTTGCTTTTTTACATAGTCTGTCTATGAAAGAATTAAGAGCATCATCATGTGTGATGTTGCTTCAGTTAAACCAATCAGCACATTTCTTAATGATGTCAGCACTTTTTGCTTAATATGTCATGCAGTGTGTGGTGTGAATTTTATTTTATTTTCTCTCACTAAAGATGGCAGAATGACTTTTCTATTAATTGTGTTAATTTTTTATTGCATGTATTAACCGTAAAGAATCATACATTTATTAAAGAATCATACAACTATAGTGAACTTCCTTGTATTCCAATACTAGAACATGAAGCTTTCACAACACTTTATAATGATGGTGACATGTTTAACAAATGAGGAAGAAACCAGAAGTAACTTGCTGCAACTAATCAATTAATGGCTGATGCTCATTTGTTAATATCTAAGTTGATTCTTTCAATAGATGGACTACAGTAATTGTTATAAAAAATAACTTTTATATTATTATCTGTAAACATATGGTACCATGCACAGTTTTAACGTTGTGCTAGTGTCATAATGTTTTTTTAAACTGAAATATATTTTTAAATGGAGATTTTTATCATAATTCAATAAAATTACTCCTTTTAAGCTTTTGTTATTACTTAAATCTTATATCCTAGCGTAATTGAAATTATTGGACTTCCTAATGATCCTCTTACCCTCCTTTTCAAATGCCTGGAAAGTTGAGCAAGAGTCCTTGTTTTAATTTAAATTATAAATTTTCTATGTATTTGACAAAAAATTGTTTCAGTAACTCTCTAAAGATATAAACATATATAGTGTTGCCTCGTACTTCAAATTTAATTTCATTCTGTTTGAAGTCTTAATCAATTTTTCTCATTGGAAACAATGGAAAGCAAATTAATCCATTCCCAGATCATAAACAATATTCATTTTGATAATCTTAAAACAGCAAATACATATAGTAAAAATAACACAATTAAATGAACTAATAATAAATTAATATATTTTGTTTTGTTTTCTGAAACTGTGTTTTCGTATTTATTGACTGCTGAACACAAGACTGTGTTATTTATTAAACACTTTGCGTTTTCCTCTTTATTCAGTTGATAGGGCACTTTTACACGTTTTGGGTGCTTTGCCCCTCATCAGTCAACTGATAAGAAAGAACATATATAATATTGGATTATTACATTTTCCAAATTAAATAATACAAACTCAATTCAAAAACATGTATATTTTAAAAACGTACCATTAAACACGCAATGTATGCAATGACACTTATACAGCACAAGTTCACATTCTCTTTACTGGGAGGATAAGTTGACTACATCAACGCTATAAAATCTACGTACATCTGATTAAGCAATAAAACACTATATAAATATACAAGCTTATACGGATATAGAGCAAAATCATACTAAGTTTGATCTAGTGCTGTTTCTTACTGTTAAGTAGACGTAATACATCTTTCATCTTCTTACTAAAGTTGATGAATATATTGGCTGATTCCTTTCCAAGATTGATGGATATATTTGGCTGGCTTCTTTCAATTTTTCCTTGGCACATAACAGGATCAGATAAACTTCACTTAACTTAACTTATTATAACAAAATTTGTTTTTGGTTCTTTACACAATATTGAGCTTGGTTGCTAATTTGCATTTTTAACTATTTATGACAGTCGGAATTTACGTAATATTTGGAATAGTCAAAAACAGCCAAATAAAACAGAATTCACTAAAATATCCTTAAAATTTTTCTTTAAAAAGCATTTAAAAAATTTTTATTTTTACAATATTTTCAACCAATCTTTGCTTATTTTTACGCTTAGATTCTTATTTATACAATTTCTGGAGTTTATAATAGCCACACTTTCTTTAAATTTCCTACTATATGTATTCTTTTCTTTATATAAGATTTTTACATTAGCTTTATCTATATTACAGTTATTTAGTAGGCAATGATCATGAAAGACTGAATTTAATCTGCGATATTTCATATCTGCAATATGTTCTTTTAATTTTGTATTTAGCTTACGTTTGGTTTCACCTATATAAATATTGGCATCTTTACAAATACATGGGATCTCGTAAACTACATTCTTGATTTCTTCTTTGGTCTCTTTACTTTTTGTACATTTTTTGTTTTTTA